GATACAGGGCGAGGGGCGGGGGAGTGGAGGGTGAGGGAGTTTAATTGGGGGTAGTGAGTGGGCAGCCACCTCAGAAACTGCACCGAGTTGAATGAATGAATGACCTAATTCAGGGAGGCTCAAAGAGGGAAGGACTGGAGGTGTGGCCAGGACCGAAGGACTGACAGACAGGCCTCCTCCATCCCCACAGGTGCTGGAGCAGCGACTGACCCAAGAGATCAGCACTCTGGAGCAGCAAAGAGCAGCTGCTGTCGGACGGTGAGCCTCGGGCACTGAGGGTGGCGGGGCCGTGGCCGTGGGGACCGTGCGGTGGGGTCGTCCTGAGCCGCCGCTGCCCGCAGGGACTCTGCTGCGCGCCCAGCTGCAGGAGGTGGAGCGGCGTCTGCGCTCCGCGAGGGAGGCCCAGGACGCCCAGGTGCAGAACAGCGGGCGAGCGGGAAATGGACCGGCCCCCACCGGGGGCTCCCTAGGACCTTCGTGCCTCCGTCGGGGCTTCCTTCCCCGACCCTAGACCCTCACTCGCTAGCTCTCCCCTCTCTCTGCCTTTCTCTTAGGCCGAAGACAGAGTGCGAGAGAGTCGGGGGGACAGTCCCAGGGCTCCCCAGAGGCCCGGGTCGGCAGAGGAGAGGCAGGCACCAGGTGAACAGAAGCGTGATAAAGAGGTGGGCGGGGGTCCTGGGAGGTCCCCGGAGAAGGGGGATCGGAGGAGGCATGGCGGGACAGGCAGAGGGAGCTGCCGGGAATCCGGCGGGTGCTGACCAACGGGGCGGACGCTAGGGTGCCGGAGGTCCTGGCCTCACAGCTTGGTCCCTCTGCCCACAGGCGGGCCCGGAGGAGGAGCATCTGGAGACGCCGGAATTGCTGCCCCAGGCACCCTGCTAGGCCGTTAGAACGCTCCCCAAGGCCATCTTCCTTTCGGGCCTACCAAGAAATAAAGATGATTCTGATGGTTCCCTGAGTCTGTGATTATGAAGTCCCCTGAGGTGGGAGGCTAGGCCTAACCCGGTGGAGTGGGCAGGTGTCCAAGGCACCTTTGAGAGCTGAACTCCACCCACCGCAGGCATACAGCAGGTGCTCAATAAATGCTCTGGAGCAGGCAGTGAATAAAATGGTTACCCTAACTCCATGACTGCACCCAGGGTTCCGGGAACGGCTGTTCATCAACAAGGACTAGAGAGCCTGTAAAAAACCCCTGGCAGGTTCCAGGGGATCTCCTGTGGTACAGTGAATTTCCAGCTTCCTCACAGTGGTGTCTGTGTACCTTGTGGGCTCTTGT